AGCTTACCAGTCCTGATGCAACAGTTCCCAAATTCTCGCTAAAATATTTGTGAAAGCACAAAAATCCAATAAACTGAAATCAGACCAGAATCTCGAAGGAATTCACAACCGAGGGCCTGTGGTGCTGGATGAACAAACATAATAGGACGCCTCATGTAGGTCCATTAAGCCTCCTCCTCTAGAGCATGAAAGGAAGGACAAACCTTTGCCATGTCCCTTAAGCCCTGAGAGCCAGAGAATGAACCAACAGAACAGCTGGCCAAACTCCTCTGTTTGGGGCAATGTCTACCTTAGTCTCTTCCTCTATCCACACAGAGCCTGCAACCCCCAGAGGACACTCCGCTTCCCAGCAGAGGAGGACTGGCCAGCTTCCTGGGAGGAGACTTCTCACTTGCTGGGCACGTGTTCCAAAGAGGAGAACAGAACGTGCCCGGGCTGAGGTTTTTCCTGTATCGTACCTTCCCATGTTTCAGAGATAAGAGCATGAGAAGACTCCATCTGAGTCCGTAGAATCTCCACGGATGAAGATTGGCCAAAACAAAACAAAACATAAACAAAACCATGGAAATTCGCAAGCAGCTGTGGAATCAAATGCTTCCTCTAGACCTGGATATATCAGGGTGATTGTACCAGCACCCAAAGGTCCGTTGAGCAGAACCAAGGATTTGCCACATGGGTGGCCTGTTGGCAAACACTAACTCTGCATCTGCGTCTTCCTGTTCAAGGGCAAAAAAAAAAAAAATCAGAAAGAAAAATCCTACATCGAACCCGTGGAAGGCGACTCTAACACGAGGTAAAGGGAACATGAGTGTGAGTATTCAGACTAAGTATGTCTGTTTGGAATGTATTGCCTAAAGGAAACAGTGGGACGGAAATCGACCATGTGTTCAGTATCAACAGGCTGCAAAGAGGGGCTGGAGGAAGATGGTCCATTCTGGGCCTCAGCGCTCTATGTAGTGCTCAGGTCCGATGTCCAGCAAACGGTAAAAACTAGTGTGGCACGTGGAGAGGTGACACAATGTGAGCCAGAACCAGCAGAACAGCTGAGAACAGGAACGGACCCGCAGGGACTTCAAGACAGAGGTTACAGACACAGACTGTAAAACAAGGGGGTTTACAACGTTCATGGTGAAATAAACCAAGCGTCACAATTCTGGCAGTGGATTGGAAACTATAAGAAATAACCCAGATGCTGCAAATTTAAAAATGGAAAGAGAGAAAGAAAGAAAGAAAGAAAGAAAGAAGAAGGAAGGAAGGAAGGAAAGAAGGAGGGAGGGAAGGAAGGGTACTGAAAAACAGAATAACCCCAAACGAAGAACTCAGTGGATGGATTTAAGAGCAGATGAGACACAGCTGATGGAAGGATTGAAGACCTGAAACAAAGGTCAGAAGAAGTACTCCAGGATGAAACAAGTAGAGGCAGGAGAGTATAAGGAACCTACGAGAGACAGTGAGGAGATCTGACAGAAAGTCCAAGGAAGATACATAAAAGGAAATCCACGACTGGTACTTGTCAACAGTAGAAACGCAAAAGGGAAAGACAAAGCAAACTCTCGAAAGCAGCCAGAGGAGAAAAATGAGATTATCCTCAAAGAAGCAACAGATCGACTGAGCGCTGACAAATAACCCTCAGAGCAATCATCAGCAGGAGAGTGGTTTTCCCAGCACCCACAGAGGCAAGAAGACGATGGAATATGGCGGCACAGTGGGGATGCGGAAGGGGCTATCTGACTAGAATTTTCTTCTAGAAAAAAGAGAAGACCAATTGTAATTACTGAACTCTGTATAATCATGTACGTCTAATAAATGTAAGAGACTCAGATTCAATTGGATTAGTTAAATTCAGCAAAACCCAATGGCTTATCTGCAGCCCACGCTAACACAGGAGGGGAAAAATGCCGCTCACAACATACACACATTTCCTCACTCCCTCGCCCGTCCAGGCCACCCTCCCCTCACACATACTTTTCATAAAATGTCAAGGAATAATGCTAACAAGAAACGCAGGGGGCTTGGATGGAAAACATGAAAATCTCTACCGAAATTTATGAAGGGAAAACAAATATTTACTGAGCTATTCCCCATTTCTGAATGGCAAGGGCCTGTATCTTAAAGGTGTCAGTCCTTAAAGTCAGGCAATAAACACCCCCAATGATATTTATTTTGGAATTAGAAAGAACATTCTAAAGTTCATGTCAAAAATAAACATGGAAGAATAATGTGGGAGGACGGTACCTCCAAATACTAAAGCATATAAAATGGTTCAGAATAATTGACATGATATGGTAATGGTGACCTAAGCAACATATGAATCCATGGCACAGAATGTATCTAGACAGAAAGACACAGTAGGTATTTGCTTCTCCAGGGGTGAAAAAAAAAAAAAATCAAGGGAAATCCTCGTCGTGTAAATGAAGGAAAGTTCTAGAAGGATTGAAGAATTTAATGTCGCTTACTAAATCAAATTATAAACCATAAAAATGAGAGGGATTGGTTAACTAAGCACTAGATGGGAAAAGGCCTTTCAATAATCGTAAGAGCTTTTCAAGAATCATAAAAGCAATACAAGAAAATAAAACATTTCTGGACTTGTCAACTTCAGATTTTTTTAAAACTCTGCCGTGTCAAAAACAAGAGAAACAAAACGAAAACACAAAGGGAAACTTACAAAACATTTTCAATGACTCTGACAGACAAACATTGAACGTCCCGAGTCCTGGAGTTTTATACATCAGTAAGTAAAACAGGTAAGGCCTCAGAAAAGACAGTGCGAATACCTCTGGTTATCTTTAAAAACGGCAACTTTAAATGAGAAACTTGGAGAGAATTTTCACATTGGCAGAACTTTAACAAGCATCTAGGGGTGGACACTCTCTACCGCTGCTGGAGGCCGTGTACGTGGTGCAATCTCTCTGGCATGTTCTGTCGCTCGTTAATATAAACACTTTATGCTGTGGAGTCTGGCAGCAGGTAAGCATAACTCCATTTTCCAGGCTTTGGAAAGTGCTGCTCAGACGTAGACGATGTTATTTCCGGGGCCGGGAGCCAGCAGGCAGTGAGGGGGGAGAGCTCAGGCGCCGATCCAGACTTGGAATGTGTGGGGAGCTCTTTAAGGGATTCGGAATTGAGGGGAGAATACAGGGCGTCGCTGGGGTTCCAAAGGCCAGGACGGCGGGCACGGGTGAAGGTCAAGTTAAGATCGGTGGGCATAAAGACTCAGTTACGCAACATGAATGAGCTCTACGGATGTGCTGCACCTCACCGATGTCAACCATCCTGTTGCACACTTAACAATCGGTTAAGAGTGTAGACCTCGTGTTAAGTGTTCCTCGCACAATTAAAAAGAAAAAAAAGACAGGAAAAGAACACTTGGTCTGGGGCCAGGAGAACAGTAGACAACAATGGCATGTTAAAGCAGTACGGAAGATCGATCCATTGACCCAACGACTACTACAGAGCAGGGGCTTCTAGACGGGGACCATGTAAATGCTGGCAGCGTGATGGTGGCAAGACAGGTGCTGTCTAGCACCCAGGAGCTGACAGTGTCGTTAGCGGGGCATCCCTGGAAACAAGATAAAAAGCACCCGAATGGGCAAACAGGCAAAAGAATGCGAGGTTTCACGAGTATGCGTGATGTAATAAGCAGGCATCAAGACAGCGTTAGAGCGCAGGCCCTAAATTCAGAGTAAACCAGAGGGCAGGGAGGGGAGACCGGCCGCAGCCCCGGTGAGGGTTGGGTTGCTGGGGAGGCAAACAGGTCAAGCGTCTCTTTCTGCAGAAGGAGATGGCTGCGTGTGGTTTGGGGGCTTACAGCTCCGCTCCACATCCTGCCTCTGTGCGGCCGGGCTGGGGAAGGGTCCTGGCCGGGTTCAGGTGACAGAGGTGGAGGGCCCACCTTTGCACCTGCCTCCACCCTGGGCCAGGTCGGGCTGACAGTGGGGAGGGGAGTGGTTCGTGTGCAAGCTTCCTCTGGCCTTTTCTGCTTAGGATAATTGAACATTTAAGTGATTGTTCCGCTTCATCAAGTACGGTCCAGGGAGGCACTGTGCAAATTGCTAAATCAATTTATTTTTAAACAGAAATGAGGTAAAAAACAAACAAACAAAAAAAAAACAACCCCCCAAAACCCCAACAACTTAATGAAGGCTTGATGTGTTTCGTGGCAAGGGTCTATAGGACACTGCATTTCCTTCCCCGTGAAGCCATTACCGTGCGTTCTTGTGTGACAAACCGGAATGACCAATTGGGGGGGGCGTTTGAATGACGGCATTGTTTGCTCGCTTGCAAAGGTCAGTGATTCTCCATGCATAAACTACCTGGTCTGGAGTCAGAAAAGGAGCCGGACTCCAATGTCAGCTCCTGTGGTGTGACCCTGGGGCAAATTACTTCACTTTGGGGCCTCAGTTTCCTGGTGGCTAGTGATCATACCTACTTTGCCAGGTCTCACCGAGCCTTAAGTGGGTTTCTCCTCGCTAACCTATCTCAAGCACTCGCAATCCGCCCGGCGCGATGTTTAGCCCTCCGTGAATTCTCAGACGTGAGTATCCCCGGCAGGTGGAAACAATCCCATTCCCATTTTAGAGCCCGTATCTGTAACGTGTGCAGCGGACAATACTTCTTCCACCGGCCCATCAAACGACTCGTCATGCTCCTAGTTTGGATTCCAAGTGTTAGATCGGAGGATATCCCGTCCCAGAGATAAAACGCGAACAAGACGTGTGTGTGTGCGTGAGTGTGCACACACGTGCAGGGGAAGAAATGGCTGCTTGGAATCAGAAAGGTTTCCTACAGTAGATTGTGGTGGGTCTTGGGTCTAGGCTTTGAATTACGGTCCTAATTATTTTTACTCAGTTCTGTTATCCTTCAGACACATGGCTTTTCTTGGCTTCTCATTTCACATCTGCGGTTAACTCAGATTAAATCCTGTTTTCTCTCTCCCACTTACCGACCCCCTTTGCCCTAACCCCCACCCCCAACCTCCACCCAAAAGCCATCTCATTTGGGGCCCCAGTCTCCCCCAGATTGGAGCTTCGGCGTTGCAGACCTGGACTTTTCTCCTAGACTTACATCATACAATCTCTTTAAAAAAATCACATTGTTTTTACTTTGGACTTATCTTCCTTCCAATTTAGAGCCAATCACAGAGCACAGAGTTTGGTCAAGAGCAGCTACTTTCGATGCCAAATGGGAGACAGAACATAAATCAAAAAGTTAACATTGAGAGGTTTCTGAGGCTCCTGGAGAAGGGCCAAGCTTAAAAGTGACCTAGGAAGTTTGGCCGGGAATGGAAAACAAGAATTACTTTGCTTAATTTTCAAAGTTCTCAGTTTTAGGGGAAAAGCAGATGTGTTAAAAGAACACTGGAAAATGTACTGAAAAATAAATTTAACGATGCATACCTCGGCTGCACTTTACTCAAAAGCCTCTCCCTTGTGCCTGGCTTGCTACCTTGACCGCATCCTCAAGAAGTGGGAATAGGTAAGCGGCAGAAATGTCTTCCTCGTTCTTCACTCTGAAAGGGAAGCCAGCTCGGGGCTCCTCCCATGGTCAGCCTGCTTGAGGTCAAGACTGCTTGGGCCCACCAGGACAAGCCACCTGTCTCCGTCCCTACCCCACCTCCCAGTGAATGACCTGAGTCTTCTGATTGAAGGTAAATCGGGGGGTTGTAACTCAATATACAAAAAGTAGATGTAGTCACCGGGAAACTCTGATTAGCCGCTTGGTTGTAATTCATTAGTGCAATAATTCATTATTCGTTAATTCAGTCAACCCACTGATTCCTTGTTCATTAACTCAATTAATTCCTATAGCTATCTCTATCTCCTTTTGGGAAGCCAGCCACTTCCAGCTGTGTATGTCTACGTTCCTTCGTGTTTCACTTCTGCACGCATAATCTCATGACGCCTCTATGATATTTGATTTCGAGTTTCCCACTGCATCATACCAGCTTCTGGTGCGGACAGAACTTCCCTGACATCAAATCACGTGTGTAGGGATCGGCGTATGTTTCTTACACAAAGTCACCGTCGATTCCTCCTTTGTACAAACACCCCCTGGGTAAAAAGAGTAAATAAATATAACCGAGCTGGCTGCTACTGGAGGCATTTTGCGCCTGACATCCTAGGTACATTAGCTTTCTATCCAGTAATAATCCTCTAAAGCTGGGCATGTCGGATTGACAGAGTGAAATTAGGCAGAGGCACGTCTGAACAGGATTGGGATAAACTGAGAGGCTACCCCATGTTTTTCGCCATAATTACGGTGCTTTAAGTTGCACGCCGGATGTCTCGCCAAGTTATGTGGTGGGATAGTTAACTTCTCTCTGTTCCCTTGAAAATATGAACCCTCTGCAGGGCATTTTGTAAGTGGGTGCACTTGTTAGAAGAGTCTAGGATATGCTGTTGTAACGGCCCCAAAGGCTCTGCTGATGACCATCCCTCAGAGACCCAGGTGACCGAGGTTCCTTTAGATTCTGATGCTGCCACGGGGACACGAGGCCCACGGCTTTGCCACGGTGAAGGAAGGGGAGAACGGGCAGACTCACATACCGGCTCTTAAATGTTTCCATTCTGCCAGTGCCCCATACCACTGGTGCTCATTTCATAATTTAATCGAGCCGCATGTTTACGTCAAAATTTCGGGTGATGGGAAAGGTATCCGTCCTCTGTGCTGGAACTTCAGGAGGTCGGGAAATATTGGTGAACACTAGCAGCAGGCAGGACACGTGTGGGTTGTGGCTGTTCAGCGTCCACACGTCACCGGGCAGGTAACTCAAGCAGGGCCAAAGGGACCCTCTCTCCAGGGTCTCTGATCCGCTGAGTGCTTGCGCGGGACAATCCCAAACAACGCTTATTTATCCTGCAACACCAATGAACCAGCTGGAGATCAAAGTCTCTCCAGGGACCCTCACTCTTGCGTGGAGTTACCAAAGAGCAGAAAAAAGCACTCATTCATTCTAGCAGCCTCGCCGTCCAGCCCCCCCGCTACCCCTTGTTGTTCAGCCTGTTTCTTTAGCATTCCCATGAACTTTGAGGGCAACCAACGCTCTCCTGATGTATTCCTTTTCTGCTTAGCAAGAGTCAGTTTTTGTTACTTGCGCCTAAAATGTTCCCCAACAGGAAACAAAACCCTTAAGCAAAATGCCCAGCTGACGTGATCTGCCGGGTCCTGTAAGATTTATCTATGGGTATGTGCCGGAAGGGGCAGAGCGGGAAGAACACCTGGTTCGAAGCCACGAAAATCACTCTGCTCCTCTCTTTGCCATGTGAACTTGAGCAGACCCAGAAGCTCGTCTGTCAAATGAAGGTCTGGGACAAGTTTATCTTCCAAGTCCTTTCTGGCTCCGGTGGACCGCGACTGTGTCATCTTGGGACCCGCTGAAATGAGCCCACACCCTGTATTTTGGTCCCTGATTGAAACCGAAAACAGGCCCCACACTTTGATAAATAACCTGTCAACTCTACGCTTTCATTTGGAATCACATTAGCCTAGGAAACTACGGGTTGCTTATATTTTACATTTCAAATGCACAGAGGTCCTGGCATCCATCTGAGGACCTGCCATCCACCTGGGGGCTCTGCCTTGGCAGTAAGGGTGGAATCCCATCCAAGCGATCACGCTTGTTACTCATCTGATTCCTATTTATCGAGGACTACGTCCTTTCATTATTTGAGATCGGTCGGGTCCCTTCATGTGTGTCTGCTTAGTACCCAGGAGGCAGAAGAACCAGGCATTTCCAGAATATTGTGATATATTAATGTCAATAAAAGTAATGACTTGCAAGACCCTCAGCTCTCTGTCTCTAAGTAGAGGAACGCTAGGAGCTGGGCAGAGAGAAAAATCCCAAGTATTTCTCAGCAGGCTGGTGCGCGGAAGAAAAACGAGATGACTTTCCCTGTGAATAAGATTCACCTCTGATTAAAATTCTGCCTGGGGAAAAAAAAAAAAATCTGCCTAGAATTAAAAAGGTGATGTACTGAGATATGCATGACTCACTTAATCAGAAGGGCCTCTCTGTACACATTATTCTCCTTGCCTTTAGCCAAAGTTGACTCTCTTGCACGCTTAACGTTAGAAAAAAGGGGTTTTTCAGGATACCCTGCCCTGGCAAAGTGAGGACAGAGACCAGGAGGCAACAGTGACATTCTGCAACACAGGAAGGGGCTTCACTGAATCAAAGAAGACCATGGTCAAGGGAACCTCGGGGGGCTTTGGTTCCATATGCTGTGGTCAGAGGGCAACCTTTGGTGGTGGATTTTGTTTTTCCTCTCTGCGAGCTACTTGACCGCAAAGGGCTTAGTCTAAGATCTGGGTCTCTTTGCCCCAGGAATGAAAAAGCGGTCATTTTAAAGGGGATTTCAGTGCATGTTAATCTCCCGGTTGAGGTGAGAAGAGGCAGAGAAAGAAAGAAAAGACTCGAGTAGCTGAGCAGAAGAGAGATTGGTTGCTCCGACATTCCAGAAGGTTCCAACAAGCCAGGGCCCCTTCCTGTGAAGTCCGAGGCTTTCTGCTGGAAAGCAAAAGGTGCCCAGCAAACGCCCCTGGTAACCAGTCTCAGCCGAGGACAGCAGACAGCGCGCTCTGTCCAGCCAAAGCGCTCGGCAATTTGAGAGTCTGCTCTTTCTCCAGGCTCTCCAGTGTTTCAAATGCAGTTTGTCGTTTTACCACAGTGGCAACCTCTCCACTTGCAGCAACTTAAAAGCAGAGGAACCGGCCACGCAAAATAGGGTGTGCGCTTGCGACCGAAGTCGGAAATGTGGCTTGACAACGTTTCCGTCTTTTGTGCAAGGTAGGAGATTTTTTTTTTTAATGAGTGCCTTCTCCCTACTTCTGGCTATTTCTCAGCTAGGACTCACCCAGCAGATTAACTGAGTTTCTGCTGACCTTGGCAGGAGAGAGCAAACCCAGGAATTTGGCAGAACGGAAGCTATGCCCGCGCAACCTGAGAAACCACACGTCCCGACTCACGGGTCGGCGGGTTTGGGGTGCAGATTATCCTCTGGATCCGGGAATCCGGGGGTCCAGGGATCCTGTTAGGACCTGAACTGTGGAGCTGGCAGCTCTGTGTTGTGTCTTCCGGTGTCGGGTTTCAGGACACCACCTTGTAAAAACAATTGGCACACGAGATTCTCATGGGCTCGGCGGTTTGAGCTCAGGCTGGCCCGAGGGGCTGAGCCAGTGCTGCGACTGAGGCAGAATTCTTCGGGGCGAAGGCTTGGGGTGCTGAGCCGGGGGCGAGCCAGCACCTAGAAAGTGGAGGCCGGGAGCGGCATCCAGCACAAACATCTGCAGATGAACCGAGGGATACTTCCCATTGCGAGCTGATGCGGAGGCCAGATGTGCGCACTCCCCGGGGCCACCTCATCCCCTGTGGCTGCTGCTGACAGCTGCCCGCCAGGAAAAGGCAGAGGGTGAAGGGTGAGATGGAAAGAGCTGTGGGAAGTTCGCCAGGCCCCGCCTGGAGGCTGGCCTCCATCGGCTCCGAATATTCCAGCAGTAAGTCACTTGACCGTGCGCGTCAGGGGAGCCCTTGCTGCTTTGCTAGGCGCAGCCCGACAGCCGCCCGTAGGAGGGCGCCTCCCAGCTGCTGCAAGTTCCTCTAGCAGGGAATCATTCGGAAGGTTGGAGGGTCCGTGACCCCCTGGGGACAACGTGTCAGCCTGGGGAGGTAAATGGTCTCCACTGCGCAGGGACTAGTTACAGAAGTCAGGCGCTGGCTTCTGCCTCTTACGAGAGAGGCCTGGTCCAAGGTGCCTGGTACAGGGCCAAGCTGGAATTCTTTAATCTGCTACACGGCTTCTCTAAAACTAAAGTTCATAAAAGCCCTCCAACTCGTACCGATGGATAATACGCTCGACACGCAGGGGGCGTGTATGCAATCGCTTCTGGGTGCTGTTTAAGGCAAAATCATCCAGGGATGAGGGCCTCCGCAGGAAAACCTTGGAGAAAGCCCGTTTCCTCCTCTTTATTTTTTTTTTTCAACTTTTTTTTTATTTATTTATTTTTGGGACAGAGAGAGACAGAGCATGAACGGGGGAGGGGCAGAGAGAGAGGGAGACACAGAATCGGAAACAGGCTCCAGGCTCTGAGCCATCAGCCCAGAGCCTGACGCGGGGCTCGAACTCACAGACCGCGAGATCGTGACCTGGCTGAAGTCGGACGCTTAACCGACTGCGCCACCCAGGCGCCCCCATTTCCTCCTCTTTATAACCTCCATTCTCATTACAGGCCTCAATCTCCCCCTCTGCGAGGTTGGAGCTCCTCAGGGCAAGAGATCGAGCAGAGATGAACTCTGTCCAGCACCTTCTACTTCCTTCCTTCAGAACGAGACAAGAAACGAGCCATCTCAATAGCACTGCCTTTTGAAGACAGGTGAACCAATTAGGTTTCTGACAGTTTCTATCTCCCTTTCTACTTCTTCCTCTCAAAATAATCACATCAGGCTTTGAAACCAAATGTCTAGGAACAGGGACACAGCCTGGCGGATGTCAAGCGGCTACGGAAAAAGTTTCCATAAGAAACGCCCACCTGACCAAGGGGAGGAGCAGGGCCCCGAGGCCAAGATACTATCTTTAGGAGCCGGTGCTTGAGATTTCCAGGGATGCGGCCATGTCCAGTCCCCTCCTCCCGACCCCCCAAAACAGGGGACATCGTTGTCACCACATGTGCCCAGTAGCTAAAAAAACGTGACCTGAGCTCTCCCAGTTCCGGGGATGAACGAAAGCAACAGTGCCATAGCACCTCTCTGCCTCGTCCGGTCCCTCCACCCCCTACCCTCGGCCCAGCAGACCTCACCATTGTCTCCGTGGTGAACTTCCCCGGAAACCAGTGCTGAGGAAGGGCTATTTTCGTAACACGGGGATACGACACCTGAGTGAAGGTCGGAGGTGGATTTTCAGAGCCCAAAGGCCTCGTGCTCGTTAACGGTGCACGGGGCAGCGGTCTAAGAGAGAGAATCTTGCCAGGGAGTCAGGGACAAGGTCCCATTTCCCACCAGGACAAAGGGCACAAACCTCGCAGAGAAGGCAAATACCAACACATGCGCTGTAAAGAAAATGGACTTCACCGCCTACAAGAGAGACCTGAGCTCGCTCAGAAAGCACTTCCCAGAGAGAGTCCAGGCAGCCCAAGCGCCGGAATGGTCTCATGACCCAACCATGCACTTGGGATTGGGATGGACTGCTGGGAACTTTAAGTGCCCCCGGGACCTGGAGATCCAGATTTAGGAGCAATGCATGTAGGGTTGATGACATACAGCTGCAAAATAATACTCTTTGGTTCCTCATTTGGCTCCAGATTCCTCACCTACATACAGTGTGGGTAGTAATCTCTGACTTACCTAGAAGATAGCATAAGGATCAAGCTAAACACTGCACAGACAAGTATTTTGCAACACGTACAAATATATGCTTTCACCGCCATGTGTGCTGCCTGGGTGAATTATTTTTACGAAGACCTGGGAAAAGTGGCTCTTGTCATCTTTGTCCAACGGACGACTCTCGAAGACTGTCCAGCTGTGAGGCAGGGGACTAATAATCTGTTCCCTTCGAAGCGATATATCGGTAGCAAAGGACTTGTCGAGACTGAGCTGACGCAAGACTGAAACTGAGCAAATACGAAACATCTCGGAGCCTCGAGTTTCCACATCTGTCAAATGGTACCAATAACTCAGCCCTCTCAGGTTTCCAAAGATTAAAGGAGGTTGTGTATGTCAACAGCTTTCTCATGAGGAGAACTTGAGGCATGTCAAGGCTCTTGTTCCTTTGTTTTGCATTCAAGCACTGGAATTAAAAAACGTGAAAGAATAGACAGTTCGCCCCGGGCCTGAAATTCTCAAAGAAGGTATGGGGGCCAAAGATCTCCCCAGGCAGAAAATGCATGTCCCCCAAAGGGAGAAGGCAGGCCTGATCTAGCTTTGATCGGGGACCCTGGCTGAGACTCACCATGGAAGAGTCATTCTTGGGGTCCACCTGATTCTCAGTCCAGACCCTGGCCCTTTGGAATGCCGTCCATCTCCTAAGGCCAAGTCCTCCCTCCTTTGTGAGATAGTCTCAGGCCTCCTCGATTGCAATCTCCATGGTTTGACCAGTTCTCCCACCTTTTTAAAAAATTTTTTTTTTGGTTTCACTATAAAATATACTTGAGAGTTTGCCATAGTTATTTTGTGTGTGCTTCTTGGATTCATCTTGATTGATCTATGAGATTTTGGAGAACAAGAAATATGTAGTTTCATCTTTGTATCCCTATACTGCCCTGTAATAATATGGGTTTTTGTGTGTGTGTGTGTGGTTTTTAAAAAAATGCTTAATGTTTATTTTCGAGAGGGAGAGAGGGAGAGAGAATGAGCGGGGAAGGGGCAGAGAGAGGGAGACACTGGATCTCAGGCAGGCTCCAGGCTCTGAGCTGTCAGCACTCGACAGCTCGAACCCACGGACCACGAGATCATGACCTGAGCTGAAGTCGGACGCTTAATGGACTAAGCCACCCAGGTGCCCCATGATATCTGCTTTTTGAATAAAATATATTTCCAGCTCTTACCTCACCATCCATCGAAAGCCAATCCTATAAATAAGCAAGGAGAGCTGTCGTGGCCATCATCACCTAAGCCTTGGATGCTGCAGCACTTAACAGACCTCTTCTCTTCAAACTGGCCTCCCGGGTTCATCTTCTTCAAATGTCGTTTTAAGATACCATATTCAAATTTCCCATTCAAATTCTTTGCAAGGTGCAAACTTGAAAGCCCTGAAGGTAAGGGTCTCCACTTCACCTCCAATCCAATCCAGCTTTTTAAACTCATTTAACCCATGCATTCCCAAACCAGTAAGGCTGACTCATTCACTTATTCATTGATTTTTTTTTTTTTTATTCATTCCTTCAAGTAGGGTTGAGTGCCTATTATATGCCAGCCATTGTGTTAGGTGATAGGGATCTTTATACAAAGATATCATCCCTGATCTCAGTGCCGTAGCCATCTGGTGGGCTGGCAGAAAGTAAAGGGCCTATTACAATTCTAAGTGATAAGACATACTGGGGTACAGAGGAGCCAATACCCAAATTGGCCTGAGGGAATCAGCCAAGGGTTGGCAGAAAAGAGACTAGAGTAGAGTGGTTTCCCAGAAAGACCCCACACACTGGGTAAAGAGAGGCCATTTGAGACAGAGAGAAAAGAATACGCAGAAAAATTAAGGACGTCATGAGAATATGGTATAAACTCACGAGTGGCTCCAGACGACCCAGCTGGGAGCTAAACTCAAACACAAGGGGGATCTCCAAGGTTTGTGATGTGGTATTTATTACCTATGTCAGTATTTCTCAACTTGTGTCCTGGAACCAGGTTCTGAGAGACATCAGGCAGATTACCAAGGCCAGAAACATTTTTAAAGGGTTCTGCGGTCAAAAAAAGTTTGCAAAGTAAACCCCCCCCCCACTTGGAAAGTTACAATGTTCACAAGCGTATTCAAGCGTATTGAAGGTTCTGCTAAGCCTTGCAATAAAACAAGCTATTTAAAGGGTCCCAAACTTATTTATCCAAAGAAAATGGCACCACCATATGTCTCCTGCAGGATGGAATCCAAGGACCGACCGGTTTGGAAGTGCCGGTCTATACGCTACCATACCTCATGAGGCACATCCGTCCTTGGCCCGTAATTGAAGGCATGAACTTCACATACAAACACACACAGATTTGAATCCTGTTTCCAACACTTCCTTCCTGTTTGAACTTGGACAAAGGCCCATCTTTGATGGACCTTTTACTTGCCTATAAAATGGGCATAAAACATGCTTTCTCCACAGGGTGGTCTCACTGAGGCCTTCTGCCTGACCCAGAATATGTGCTTAAAGAATTTCCTTTCATTTATTATTGGTTAACAGTTACGAATCTAATCTATCAGCCAAAATAACCATAAGCACCTTATGAGGAATATAGCTTTGCTCACCGAATTTCCAGCATCCTGGCAAAGCTTCTCCACAATGTCTCCTAAAAGATTCTCGTTTAATGATACTCAAAACTGAGCACAAGAGGATTCCCTGAAATACTGCATTAGAAAAACTGCGATAGAAAGAAGAAAAAGCAACCCAATCCACACATCGTTAGGAATGTACTGATTTTCTTTTTTTTTTTTTTTTTTACGTTTATTTATTCTTGAGACAGAGAGAGACAGAGCATGAACGGGGGAGGGGCAGAGAGAGAGGGAGACACAGAATCGGAAGCCATCAGCCATCAGCCCAGAGCCCGACGCGGGGCTCAAACTCACGGACCGCGAGATCGTGACCTGAGCTGAAGTCGGGCGCTTAACCGACTGCGCCACCCAGGCGCCCCAGGAATGTACCGATTTTCTTAAATGAGGTATTCTAATGTTCACAGTGACTCCATACCCTCTAGTGACTGAAAACTAAGTTATGTATATACTCAATGGAATACTACTTGGCGATCAAAAAGAATGAAATCCTGCCCCTTGCCAACAACGTGGACAGAACCGGAGTGTATTTTGCTAAGTGAAGTAAATTGGTCCGAGAAAGACAAATATGATTTCATTCATATGTGGAATTTAAGAAACACAACAGATGAACATAGGGGAAGGGAGGGAAAAATAAGATAAAAACAGAGAGGGAGGCAAACCATAAGAGACCCTTACAAAGTGAACTGAGGGTTGCTGGGGGGGGGGGGGCCCGGGGGGGGGATGGGCTAAGTGGGCGAGGGGCATTAAGGAGGGCGCTTGTTGGGACGGGCGCTGGGCGTCCTATGGAAGCGATGAGTCACCGGGTTCTACTCCTGAAACCAACACGACATTGTATGTGAACTAACTTGAATTTAAATAAATCAATTACAAATAAAAATATAGAAAAACAAACCACATAAAATACGGTCCTAAAAAGAGAAATATTTGCCATGTGAAGATGAAGATTACAGCCTATCAGAGTTGGTAGGAATTTTAATACACAGGTTTTTTAAAAGGCAGACGAAGAAATGCTCTTCCGTGTGTGGCCTGGGACACATGCTCTGTCCTTGGCCTTGAAAACCCTTTGCTTTGGCCCTGTGGAAACTCTCACACATCCTTGAAGACTCAACCCAAGCATCACTGCCTTCGTAAAGTCATCCTTAATTCCCCAGCTTGGGTTAGGTAACACCCCCCGGGCTCCTATAATATCCGTGGACACTTCCATTAGGCAACATCCACTGCATTCTTACCACGTGGTTGCTATGGCCACAGCACTGGAGACGTAATTGATGGCCAAATAGAGGCGGTCCTGCCCTCAGAGCTTATGGTCTGATAGGACAGCAGACACCTTTTGGATAAACAGACAAAAAACGTATTGCAAACTGAGCAAGGGCTGTGAGGCAATAGAGGAGACCTAAGAGAGAATCAAGGGGGTTCTGTTTTACTTGTTTACCTTGCCATCTCCTCCACCGGCTGTGAAATATTTGAGTGCAACCCTGTGCACATCTGTGCCACTTGGCACGGTATTGTGGCACAGTGCATTGAACTTGGCGTGCATTACCTCTTGAATGAACGAATGAGCGAATGAATCAATGAATTCAATGAGTTAAGGGTTTGCCTAAGCTGACAACTAATTAGTTACAATTTTGACTGCTACCTTTGTTTAAAGGGAGAGAATACTTGTAAACATATACATATATATATGTATATTTTTAAATGTTCATTTATTTATTTTTGAGAGAGCGAGAGAGGGTGAACAGGGGAGGGGGAGGGAGAGAGAGAGAGAGAGAGAGAGAGAGAGAGAATCCCAAGCAGGCTCCGCACTGTCTGTGCAGAAAACAACTTCTGCCACTTGATTTCCAGTCCTAGGCAACGGGTAATTGTTTGGAGCTCTTTCTTGACTCCTGGCCCAGCTCTGGCTGCTGTTTGCCGCGAAAAAACGAGTGAGTAGCCACACAGTGGGTTTCATGCAGCGCGACGCAGCGAAGACGCTCTCTAGGCACATCTGTTCTCTAGGATGGAAAGAGCCCATAGCCAACCTCAGGGCAATTACTACTGTGTTCTGTTGATACTTGGTTTTATTTGGCTCCTTGGCTCTCCCGGGCCCTGTAGAATCGCAAACATCATCAATGGCTTCCAACTAGAGCTGGCTGGAAGGAAGAATACTTTTTATTTGGAGAAGGGTGGCTCCCCACGCACTTGTGATAAAAGAAGGAGGAAACATGTGGATTCGCCCAATAACCTCAACTGTGTGTCGTGCAAGCGGGGTCCGGACAGAAGACTCACTCCATGATTCCGAATCCTTCATGAAAATGATTCCATTGGCAGCCCACACTTGCCTGCCTTCCTTGTGATTCTGTGGGGCAGACAGTGTGATTACCTAATTTAAATAAAGAGCTAGCTCATTGCTGGGTTTTTTTCCTTCCTTCCTTCCTTCCTTCCTCCTTCCTTCCTTCCTTCCTTCCCTCCTTCCTTCCTTCCTTCCTTCCTTTCTTTCTTTCTTTCTTTCTTTCTTTCTTTCTTTCTTTCTTTCTTTCTTTCTTTCTTT